ACTCAGGAGGCTGAGGCAGGAGAATTGCCTGAACCCAGGAGGCGGAGGTTGCGGTGAGCCGAGATCGCGCCATTGCACTCCAGCCTGGGTAACAAGAGCAAAACTCCGTCTCAAAAAAAAAATAAATAAATAAAATAAAAAACTAATGTATCTTTTGTACATTCTGCTAAAACCTTATGGCTCCAGATTGAGTTCAGTTAATTTACGAGACATGTCTATCACATAACCTAATTGACAAAGTCATTTCTGGTTGTCAGATCAGCTAGACCAGACTTACTTTCTGATTCATTTTTTCCATTCAAATAAATGTGTTAATTATCATTCATATAACACTTTGAATTCTGATGTAGGTGCTGTTTTACCTTCTGGATAGAGTAAGATACTGTCACTTTCAGCATTTTTTCCTAGTGCCTTGTTATTTTGCTTTTACTGAGTTTTCTTCACTCCTTCCCCTCAAATACATTCTTTGGCAGCAGGAAAGGCCTGGAAGAGGTATGGTTGTTAAGCAAAAATTGTCTTTTCTTCCATTACCCATTCTTCAATATATCTGAATTCAGAACATTTCAATAAAATACCCATTTATAAAGGACACTACACTCTTAGGAGAAATATGTTTCAGACACAGGACACAGAGCCCTCCTATGTTTACAGTTTCTTGATTAGTATTTCAAATTTTTTTGTCTCATACCCTGAAGACTTTTGCTTTCCTAAACAATACTTTGTAGTCTCCTTTGTTAAATGAGAAAGGGCTATAATGAAAGGGAAGGCACCTTCACAAGATGCAGTCTAGGCCAAATCACTTGTAAGAAAGACTACATGAAGAAGTAGAGAATCATGGAAAAATAACCTTAAAATTACCCATGCCTTCATCCTCTGCAAATTCTATTCCCCAGTTTGAAGGCTGCTGATCTATACTACCTATATCTCCTTTCCATCCCCTTCCTTGCTCCTTCCATCCAAGACTGTTCTATCCTTTACCTTAGTTAGTACTCAGAGGTCTGTAATCCTTAGTTTATTAAATCAATTGTTTTTGCTCAGACCTTGTCTTCCTAAATACATCTGAAAATGTGAACACCTACCCTAGCTAAGAAGAAAAGAAAAATGAGGGAGTTAAGGGAAAAAGAGAAAGAACAGAAAACTGAAAGGAACAAAAATTAGCTATGGAGCATGCCAACATGTGCTGCACAGGCCTTGAATTTTGCCACATCTTTGCTCTTGTCTTTTACCTTTGTTTTTGCTTCAGCCTGGCAGTGCCTTCCCTTCCTATCCATCAATATAGCCTTCAAAGACCAGCAAATCTATGAAGTGACAATATAATTGCTTTTTCTTTCACAACCCTGTTCTTGGTTTGTACCCTGATGGCTAATATTTAAATAACCATAATGCTTTTCATTATGTATTTTCTTTATAAATGCTGTCTTGAATTTGGGGAAAAAAACTATTGGGGTTTATAAATAGCCCTCCTTAATGTATACCATTACTATCTAATTATTCCGTTTCATGATCATATTTATCAGTAATCTATACAAACTACAGTTTTTATTTTTGCTCTCCTGTTCTCTCCAGGAATCAAAAAGATCAGAATCTCTTATGGACATACATCATAAAAAGTTAAAGAGTAAGGCTGCTGAAGACAAAAATAAGCCTCAAGAGAGAATACCATTTGACCGTGATAAGGATCTCAAGGTTAATCGGTTTGATGAAGCTCAAAAAAAAGCCCTAATAAAAAAATCTAGAGAACTAAACACCAGATTTTCACATGGCAAAGGCAATATGTTTTTATAAGTAAGTATATTTCAGTGAGGTATATTTTAATACTGATCAATGTGAAATTTTCTAAATACTGTTGTCTTTAATAATTGTGCTGAAATCTATTTCTTTTTACAATAGATTAAAAATTACATTTTTTTTATAAGTAAACTGTGGTTTTAGAAAAGTCAGCCTTGTGGGTTGAAAAATATGGCTTGCTAGAAAAAATAGCCTTTCCGTCATAATAACCTAATAGGATATTGCTATTTAAAATGCTAAAATAAAAATTCAGCTTGTAAGAAATAGCAAAGGAAGGTGTGGATTGATGCTTGGGTAAATATGCCT